CGCACACGCACACGCACACGAACACGCACGAGCACACGCACGCGCACGTGCACGCGCACGCGCATACGCACACGCACGCGCACGCGCACACGCAAACGCACACGCACACGCACACGCGCACGCACACGCGCACGCACACGCACGCGCACGCGCACACGCGCACGCACACGCGCACGCACACGCACACGCACACGCGCACGCACACGCACACGCGCACGCGCACGCATACGCACACGCACACGCGCACGCACACGCGCACACGCACACGTACACGCACACGCGCACACGCACAGGCACGCGCACGCGCACACGCACACGCACGAGCACACGCACACGCACACGAATACGCACGAGCGCACACGCGCGCACGCACGCACACGTCTCACGCGCACGCGCACGCGCACGCACACGCACACGCACGCACACGCACGCAACACACGCACACGCACACGCGCACGCGCACGCGCACGCACGCTCACGCACACGCACACGCACACGCACACGCACACGCACGCACACGCACACGCACACGCACACGCACACGCACACGCACACGCACACGCACACGCACACGCACACGCACACGCACACGCACACGCACACGCACACGCACACGCACACGCACACGCACACGCACACGCACACGCACACGCACACGCACACGCACACGCACACGCACACGCACACGCACACGCACACGCACGCGGACGCGCGCACACACACACACACGCAAACGCACACGCACATACGCACACGCACGCACACGCACGCATACGCGCACACGCGCACACGCACACGTGCACAGGCACGCACGTGCACACGCACGCACAGGCGCACACGCGCACACGCACGCACAGGCACGCACTCGCGCGCACACGCGCACACGCGCACACGCGCACACGCGCACACGCGCACACGCGCACACGCGCACTTGCGCACACTCGCACACGCGCGCACGCGCACACGCGCACACGCGTACACGCGCACACGCGCACACGCGCTCTCGCGCACACACGCACGCGCACACGCACACGCGCACACGCACACGCGCACACGCGCACACGCGCACACGCGCACACGCGCACACGCGCACACGCGCACACGCGCACACGCGCACACGCGCACACGCACACACGCACACACACGCACACACGCACACACGCACACACGCGCACACGCGCACACGCACACACGCACACACACGCACACACGCACACACGCACACACGCACACACACACACACGCACACACACACACAACACACACACACACACACACACACGCACACACGCACACACGCACGCACGCACTCACGCACGCACGCACACGCCCCACACCCCACACCCCCACACCCGAAACCCCACGCCCCCGCACCCCCCACCCTCACGCCCCCACGCCCCCACGCCCCCACGCCCCCGCACCCCCACACCCCCGCACCCCCACGCCCGCACACCCCACACCCCCACACCCCCACACCACCACACCCCCACACCCCCACACCCCCCCACCCCCCACCCCACGCACACCCGCCCGCACACCCGCACACACCCGCACACCCGCACACCCCCACACCCCACCCCGCACCCCCGCAACCCCAACACCCCCACACCCCACACCCCCACACCCCCACACCCCCACACCCCCACACCCCACCCCCCCCCACACCCCCACACCCCACACCCCCACACCCCACACCCCAACACCCCCACACCCCCACCACCCCCACACCCCCACACCCCCACATTCCCACACCCCCACAACCCCATCCCCCACACCCCCACACCCCTACACCGCACACCCGCACACCCCCACACCCCCACACCCCAACCCCACGCCCCAGGCCCCCACGCACCACGCCGCCACGTCCCCACACCCCCACACCCCACACCACCACATCCCCACATCCCCACACCCCCACTCTTGTCGTCGACGCTGCGAACAGTGCAGCAGGAATTGGACGCGGCGCGCATCGCGCGCGGACGCCTGGCCAACCCTACGCGGGACCCCCCGTCCTACCTGCCATAAAACACCGCAACGTCGACGTTTTCCTTGCCAACATGTACTTTCTCGTCGGCGCTGCGGATCGCATAGCGGGAATGGGACGCCCCGCGAATTCCCAAGAGGCATTCTCTTCTTCCTCCTCAGGTTCTCCCTCCCTCCCTCTCTCCCCCCCTCCTCCTCCTCCTCCTCCTCCTCCTCCATGCGCGGCAGGAGCGAAACGATTGGCGGTGTAACACGCGTGGCTGGAATGAGACGCGGCGCGCTTCGCGCGCTGGACATGTTGTCGCCGACGATGCAACATGAGAGGCCGGAGCCCGCGGCGTACATCGCGTGCGGTTTTGTTTCTCGTCGACATTGTTAATGCGCGGCAGGAATAGGACGCAGCTCATGTCGCGCGCTGAGCGTCTAGCCGCCCACGATATAAGATGAGCGACAGGCGTCGGACGCGACGCACTTGCTTCTTATGTTGTGTGAGGGCGGGTGGGAGTGGACGGAGCTC